TTGTTAATAAATAATTTGAATTGTTAAAACAAAGGAATTTTTTTTTTTGTAAAAATCAAACATTTTAAAATAATTAACATTAAAAATAATTTATTTCTGCAGTTTTATCATAATAATGACATTATTTGATTTGAGAATATATTTTGATTTGAAAGTGACGTGTATATTGTATATTGACGTGTTATTATACTGCTGTGTAATGCTCGAAATTGTTTTTTTTGAGCTTGCAATTTATACATTGAAGTAAATTGTTACTTTTAGTAAACAAATATGTATTTATAAATTGTTAATAAATAATTTAAATTGCTAAAACAAAGGCGAATGAAACAAAAATTTTCTTTTCATAAATAATCTATTATTTTGACTCAATCTTCAATAATTTTTTTTAAGTCTTTTTCTTTTTCTGGAAGGACAAGAATCTTCAGGTTTTATTTCTTCCTCAAAACCTTCATTTTCCATTTCAATATCTTCATCCTCAATCTGTAAATTTAATGTTTCTTCTCCTTCATCTGTAGCTATATCTTGTGCCTCCAAAAAATCTAAGGAATCCATCGACTCCATATCCATATCTCGTTCAACTTCTTCCAATATTTTATTGTGATCAATATTTTTACATGTTTGACCATTGCAGTGAAGACAATAGTCAGAACATTTGAGACCATGTTTGATACAACTGCATGTTTTTGTACAAAGTTTTTTACATTTGCAACTAATATTTCTGAATAATGAGTCAGGTAGTAATACTTGCTCAGTTTGTATTGGCTCAAGACCATTTTGAGTTAGTTCCCACCCCCACTCAGTAGCATTCAGGTTATTTCCAAGCCACTGCTGTACTTGGAAATATACACGAAGCGAGTGTTGCTCAGCTGCAGATTGTGTAGGTAGCAGCATGGACAATTGAAAATTTTTATTTTTGCAACCTTTTTTAAAGCACAAGTAGCGAATTTTATTCAATGTAAAATCGCACTTTGAGTGGCCCATATACAATGCCGATATAATTTTGCATCCGCTGCGTTTAATTTCTTCCTTAGTTGCACTTTTTTCATTAAAAATGGTTGCTTCTTGCCATATATAATTATTTGTTGAAATCAATTTAACAATTTTGCTTTTTCCTTGATAAAAAAATGCAGAGGTTGTATCACAACCAGAAAATGCGTGTAAAAAGCCCACTAAATTTTTTAACGAAGATTTCGTAGATTCACTTATTTTAAGTGCATTATTGAAAGAGTTGTAGTAATAAATTTCTTCCGATTTTTTTTTCCTTTGCTACGTTTCCAGAAAAAAATATTTTTATTTTCAGTTACTTTTTGTAAAAATATTACCAGAACATCAATATCCTCTGCAATTATAAAAACTGGCTTGTTATCTAAGGCTAATATATACTTGATACTCGCCGATTCACATTTGAAGTGAATGTCCCTCATCACCACCTCTCATGCATTCCGAGCGACATATTACGCGAAAACGGTTTTTTTATTTGTCTTTTTTATGGATATTGCCATAAAGCGCATTACATAAAACTTTTCATATAAAAAGTATTTAACAAGACGAGGGTATTTGTTTAAAAACGAGCCCTCTATCACTTATGGTTACACGGCAAATGTATGCCAACTTTGACCTTCAATATCTCGGCAACCAGTAAGCCGAATGTATCTTTTTGTTTTTTTAAAAGAAGCGTATTTTAATGTTCTTTAAGTGTATACATTTTGAAATTGATATGTTCAAAGCTCGTAAAGTTATTTAATTTGTTTATAAGCCTAAAAAATGTTTATAACTTTAAAAAAATTTATAGGCTTTCCTAGTAAACCGATTTGAATTTTACAAAAAGCGTTTGAAAGTGTGAGACTTCCTGTATACGAAAAAAAAAAAAAAAAAATTACAACTATCTGAGGGCCTTATTTAGGGCCTACTATAAATTTGAAAATTTGCGATTTTTTTCCAGTAGGCTGGGTTGCAAAATTATTATGCAAAACCTATTCGACCGATCTTAACAAAATTTAGCACACGTTTTAAACATATTAAAAAGTTTTTCTAGGCGGAATATGAAACTTGTAAGTCAAGTTTAGAAAGTCGAAAACATTTAAAGGATTAACTTCATTTTTTTGTACTTTTTTTTCCAATTATTGCTATTTTTTCAACAATAACCATTAAATTTTTAATTTCTAGCTAACAAAATATTGTGTAAAATTTAATAACGAAACTTTTAACCACTTATAATTTTTTTCTCTAAGATCAATATTTTTCGAATTATAAATGAAAATAGGAGCAAAAAAATGAGAAATTTTCAATTGTTTTCAGATTTTGTTAAATAAAAAATTTAGCACAGGGTTTGCGACTGGCGCATATCGTGATTATCGATACTGGGCATATTCTGAAGGGATTCCAGCAAAAAAATAGCTTCCCTCGAAAATTTCCATTATGGTCTGAATTTCTACAGATGCCGCCTAGTCTATACAGTGAGTACAGCAAAACATCGCTACGTTAATTTCATAACAAAAAACATATAAAACAAGTTAGTGGTATTTTGTGGCAGAAATCCAAATTTTAGATTAAAGGTGACCATGCGTTCTATTTTTGTAATCGCAGGATTTACTCCTGTAACACATTTTTTATTTGAGATCATTACACATCAGAATGCAATAAAATAGGAAGACTGGTTGTGTTTATTTTACTCAATACCAGAAGTTGCTATTTAAGTTTTGATATAGAGAATAAAACAACAATTTCTCTTTGAAAATTGAATACATTCATTTAATGTATCAGTTTTTCAGTGGTATCTCTCTTATTATCATGTATTAATAGTTTTTGAAATAGTTTTTCTGCTTTTTCTTCCAAAGATGGTACTTTACCTTTTAATTTTTTTGCTCTTTCATAATTTGTAATATTGTGTCTTTCATTCACTCTTGTTTTTTTGATTTCAACTAAATTACATTAATCCTCTAGCAGGGGTGGACTCAACCCCCAAAATCTTTAATAAAAATAACGGTTGAGTGATACCTCATTTTTAAACATTCTCAAAAATACCATAAACATTATATTTCCTGTACATGGCGTCATCTTACCTTATCCAACGGTAACTTTAATATCTTAACATAATATAAGAAATACTGTAAACTAAATGTAACTAATTATTTGCTAACGGGTTTTTACCCATATATTTAGTGGCTACATTCATGTACTCCTAGACACTGATGATGGAATATGGATTCCGAAAACATTTTGTCAAATTAGCCCGTTGGGGTTTTTAAATATATACCTTTTATAAAGGTTGTTTAATAATTTTTTTTAATATATGGTATACAGCCAATTACAGGAACGTAGATTACTTGTGGATTATTAGTGGATGTTTACTTCAACGTCCAGTAACGAATCTAAAAATAATCTAAACATGTGTTGGTACTGCTTATGTCTTTTCATGGCAAATAATCGTCTGCCAATCCACCAGTATATTCCGCACGCCGCACGAGACCAACAAAGACTGAAGTCCAGACGACCCCCTGTCCAATCCGTTCAGGGAATGGGTGATAGCTACAATAAGCAAGAGCAGTGGACGAAAAGATGGATGCCAACAACAGAGCCAGACGTCATCAAAATAACAAGTACGTCGATCGGCTTCACTGGATCAAACCTGCCACGCCCTATATGGACAAAATTAAATCGCATACGCACGGGTCATGGCAAATGTGCCGATTCTCTATACCGATGGGGTCATGCAGAAAGCCCACAATGTGATTGTGGATCCCAGAGACAGACCATCCAACACCTCATGGCGGATTGCCCAATCCGCAGATACAGCGGAGACCTTCAAGATTTTGCAGAGTGTTCTCCTGGTGCAATTGAATGGCTGTGCAATTTGGACATTAATATTTAATATTTAACTTAGGTTACAATTCCAATTTGAACATAATTATTATCTAAATACTACTTTTATCGTATTGTAATTATCCATACGCTAAATAAATGTCTTTTCAGAGATTATAAATAACTTTATATTACCCATTTCATACCTTTATTACCCAGTGACTCTGGGACTCGTAAAGTGGACGTTGGTATCCCGTATGAATCCTAAAAAGAATTTCCATTTTAAGGACCATCTACAGTCCAAATTGATTTAAATAGAAACGATACAATTATTTAAGATAAAGATAAGAAAGGTGATAAAATGGTTTAAAAGAAAGATGCGAAAGGTAATGAAATGATTTATAATAAAATTCAAATGATTTAAAATAAAATTTAGAAATATTTATGCAAAATGGCGGTACTTACTTTATGCAGGACAAACGACCTGTTGTTTTTACCTCCACAAGACGAGTGACGAATTTGGGATTTGTTGCTAAGAAGCTTGGAGACTCTGGTCTTTTGGGGGGTTAAGGTGCAGGAGCAAAATTTATAGATTATAGGACCATAAGCCTAATGAGCCATCTGTTGAAGCTGTTTTTAAAAGACATCCACAAAAGAATTTACCGGAAATACGAGGAACAAATTGCGCCCAATCAGTTCGGATTAGTACTCGGAGCACATTTTTGAAGAGGCTCTAAAAGATATTGATGAAGACGTCTGAATAAATGGAGTCAAGCTTAATAACCTGCGGGATACAGATGATACAATAGTGTTTTCCAATACCACAGAAGGGCTACAAAACTTAATGAACAAAATAACGGAAACAAGTAGAAAATATGGACTAGATCAGCAAAACCAACCTAATGATCATCAGAAAGACAAACATAACTGGAGCAAACCTGTATGTGAACCAAATGAGAATTGAACGTGTCTCACAATACAACTACTTGGGAACTAAATCAATGAGTCGTGGGATAAAACCCAAGAGATTAAATGTACTCTGTACTAATTTTTGATCGTTGGTCTTGCATGTTTCTTCATTTCACGTTAGATTTTATTAGATCTTGTATGTGATATTTGCTACATTATTGTTGATGATTATTTTTAACACACCAGTATATAAATATCTGCTTCTTTATTATATTTATTATTTTTTTCAGCCTATTCCACCATTATAATAAAGGACATGACAGTTCCCCAATCAATTTCGCTAAACAGTAGTGTGGACCATGCAGACTTTGACTGTAATTACGAAGCGGTGAATGAATCTGATATAGAAGTTAAATGGTTCTTTAATGGTAATGTTGAACAAGTTTATCAATGGCTTCCAGGATATAACACCACAGGTAATAGTTCTTTATAATAAAAGTGAAATTTTTATTAATGAATAATGTCATCTATAATCCGTAGACACTAGCTTTTCTTTGCGACCTTTACTAGATGGCATTATAATCTTCATTGTTCAATCTCTTCAGATTATGACTTACGCTTCTGCGTATTATCCTATTATATATCTGTCCTATATCCTATATCTGTCTCCGTTTTTTACTATGTCTGCATTTTCCCTTCAATTTCTTTTTTGTGTATTGTAATTATAGAATGCTTCCAATCAATGAACCATTGCCTGAAATGCCAAATTTGGTTGCAGAGGAGGTGAAACAATTTTATTCTGATTTTTTTTATTCCTTGACCATTTATGCTGTTATTATATCTGGGCTCATGCCTTATTTAATTTAAATTGAATAATTGATTTTGATAATTGATTCAATTGATTTCAGTTCTTCCATTTTCTCTAAATTAAGGTGTGTATGTTCCAGGCGTTGTTTTATTAATATCAATATACTAATATACCTACACACATTGGAAAGCTGTAAGAATATTTTTGAAATATCATAAAACTAATAAAAATAAATTTACTTGGTTGTATAAATTATATTTTTAGCACAACTGCTCAACCTGTATATTTTTATTAGTTAACAAAAAACGATAAAATGGTAGTTACGATTTTATTAGAAAGTTAACGGAAAAGAAAATATAAAACTTTTATTCTATTCTATATATTATTTTCACCTCAAAAAAATAATCAAGTAGTGTCGATTTCATTCAAGTTATATAGTTTTTTGTAGATGTTTTTAAAATACTATGTTTTGTCATGAAACAGTATAATTTAATTTTAGACTAGATGAATAGAACTGTATTGCCCTCATAAGCTAAAAGGCCCTAACTCTAACATTTTTGTAAATGTCTTTTATGGGCATTTATAAAAATACACCTATAAATGTCTTAAATCCATCAAAATGACGAGTTATTGTGAAATATGTATTGGCCCTAAATCCAGTTTGGTGTCATTTTTGTTAAAATAAAGCTCTATGTAGCAAAAAAGAACTAAAAGTACCCCAAATCCACAAACATTTGGTTTTATTGCATTTTTTCTTCAAATTACGGCTATGAATACGGAATTAAGGCTGTCTTCTCTGAAATACCGCAGAATAGTTTTTGGAGTTAGGGTATTCTTTCATCAAATGTTATGGCGTAACTGGCTGTTTTGACGTGGCTTTTCCAGTTTCATTGTCATTAATTGTTTGACGCTGACGAGTACTACTTCTTTCGTTTGTGGATTTAATTTTGTTGAGTTGTAATTTTTTCGGAAGAAATCATGGATCTAATGGAAAAGCGAAGTCAACTTAAACAACAACGTAATCAAGACAAATACAAACAGATACACAAAGAAATTCGCCAGAAAATTAAAAAAGCAAAAGAACGTTGGATGGTGGAAAGGTGCAACGAAATAGAACAATTACAGGAAAAAGGAGATAGTTTTGGACTACATAAGAAGATCAAAGAAATATCGAATATACACAAAAGCCACCACATAACAAGAATACGCAACGATAGAAACGAATACATAGAGTCAGAAGAGGAGAGCAATGGCGTGGAAAGAATACGCAGAAAGACTTTTTAATGACGAAAAACCAACACAACCAACGCGCAAACTTCCTTCCGAAAACTTATCAGGGCCATCAATAATGCGAAGTGAAATAGAATATGCGGTTAGAACCACAAAGATGCATAAAGCAACAGGTCCAGATGAAATTAATATAGAAACAATAAAACTACTAGACAAGGAGAATATCGAAATCTTGGTAAGGCTGTTCAATAGAATTTATGATACTGGTTACATTCCGCGAAAATAGCTGCAGTCATCCTTTGTGATGATCCCAAAAAGAGCTAATGCCACAAAATGCAGTGAACACCGCTTAATCAGTTTAATGAGTCACTTGCTGAAACTCTTCCTTAGGATATTACACTCAAGAATGTACAAGATACTAGAAGAATTTAGCGGGTCAACACAATTCGGATTTAAGGGAGGACTAGGAACAAGAGAGGCAATTTTATGTTTGAACACCTTAATACAAAACTGCTTAGATCAACGAAAAGATGTCTACCTCACCTTCATCGACTACGAGAAGGCATTTGACAATGTTAAACATGATATCATGATGGAACTACTACATAGGGCCAACATTGACCAGAAGGAGATCAGAATTATTCAGAATCTATACTGTAACCAAATGGCAAAGGTGAGGATTGATCAAGACCGATATACGGATGAATTTGAAATCAGGAAAGGTGTCCGCCAAGGCTGCATACTCTCCCCGATGCTTTTTAATTTATATGTTGAAAATATATTTGCGGAAGCATTAGAAGACACGGAATTACGCATTAAGGTGAACGGCATACCAATTAGCAACCTACGCTATGCGGACGACACAGTAATTATAACTGATAATTTGGAAGATCAGTAGTTATTACTTGATAGGATATTGGATTACTTGGAGTTTGTATTGAATACCTTTTAATACTATGCATTTAAACAAATCTCAACAAAAATATTTATAAAAATATTCATAATTTTTCCACTGAACGTAAAATTATACATATACAGAATTTTTCATATAAAAATGATTGCACGTCATTCAAGATTTACGACGTCAGAACACCACAGCGTTGCCAAAACATCAGAATAGTAAGTGAGGAATTTTTAAAATGTCAACTATTTCTCAAACTGTTATATTAACAGTAAATACACTTAGTTTTAAGACTACTGCAACACACTGAAATACATAAAAAACATTTTAATACAAAATTACATATTCTAAATTTTAAACTTACCTCTTTTAAAGCATTAATAGTAAAAAAGTCCCGCCATTATTTCTTGTTCAAAATAATCTATCTTATATGAAAGCTTATCAGCTTTCTACAGACTATTTAGTTGTTTTGGCATAGTACAATCACAATACACAACAAGAATTAGATTTTCAAGCTATTAATCTAAATTTAATATGTAATTATAAATACAATTTATTAATATATAATATATTATGATCAAGTTGTGTAAAAACTCAAAACATAAACAAATTTTTACTCTAAAAAAGCGACAATACTTTAAACAATTCCAGCATCAGTTGCGTACAGTTGTCTAATATATTTAATTAAAAATTATTATTTTGTGGAATATTAGACTTTAAGAGTTATTTCATAATATTTATATTATTAATAATAACAAATGTTTTTGGTTATTTAATCAATATAATTCTAAAATTCCCAATATAATGATGATTACATTTTTCTGATTATTATACCATGTTGACGCCTATGACAGATCGAGCAATTATGTATGGGTTTCGTATTATTAATTAGCTGTGTTAGTAAAATTTGAACACTATGTTAACGTTCTGGAAATTTTAAATATAAGTGACTTCACTTTATATAAATTGTGACGTGCAACGTTTTTACTTTAAAAAATGGTATATTAATCGTTTTATATAGTAATTAACTATTTTTTGTAATAGTTTTCTTTTCTTTTAGGTTACGGAATGAATTCGCTTCGAGATAAGTTGGATATAGAATATAAGGTAACAAATGATAGCGATACAGAGTACCGAGGCTTTCGAATAAAACATATTGGAAGAGAATTGACAGGGAATTATACGTGTAAAGTCAGCAGTGAGACCAACGAAGCATACGATACAAGACAGATGGTTATATATAGTAAGTAACCTATTACATTATACAAAGCATTAAAAAATTGAAGCAAGCCTTAAAAGATCCATTAAATAATTCAAAATATAACCCAACTCCTTTGACAATTATTATCTGATTGCCATTTTGTCCTAAGTATTTTTTTGCAAATAAATTTTGGTACTCTATAAATCTTTGTTGTACTACTAACCTTAGACACATGGCTAACTTTTCAGTTGGGGGAATACAATGTCTAAATTTTGTATTTTGTAACTGAATTCCTTTTTATAGCAGTTTTTCCAGCAACATACCTGGACAGTCATTTTTCAACTTACATTCGACACGACTGTTTAAAACGTATCTCGTCTACACATGATTCGCCTTCTAATGACCGGGAGAGATTCATTGGATGTACCCAGTATTTTCTCTTGGGGTTTTTAATTTTCTTTCTTTTTGTTCTAATATAGCAGCCAAGAAAAACAATTCTTCCAAATTCTCACAAGCCATTTTTCTTTTTACGTTACTCAATCGATATAAACAACACAGTGGTTATCGAAAACCTGTGAATTTTCACGTAGACTGCGACGAGTCCGCGACTGCCAAGTACGAATACTGAAGTAAGAGTCAACTGTCTTGTTCGCGACGAGTCGCGTCCGCGACTCTCTAATGTGTTTCCGCCTTAACTCTATTTTACTTTATCTTTAATACCTCGCGTTTTTAACAGCTGGCAACCCTAATTTTTGATCATTTTTTATCAGGTAACCTCATATTATCATATTAAAAAAAATTAACTTTAATTTGATATAACAAACATTAAATATTGACGGGGACATATGGAAGTGGAATAAAGAAAAAAAAAAGAGTTGGAAAAAGATAACCAAGGGACATCAAAAAACTGATACAACAAGAAATATCGGATATCCAACAAGAAACGAAATACGAAATGGCAAAGAAAAAGGATATGAATTCTCAAGAAAAAATAATAAAACATACGTACATAAAAAAACATAACAAAAATATTAAAAAACACGAGCAAGTAAAAATAAGTACGTGGAACATCAGAACAATGCTTGAACCAGGAAAAATGCAAGAGATTGTCTCAGAGCTGGAAAGATACGGAATTAATGTTGCAGCAATTCAAGAAATTAGATGGGCAGGTCAAGGAGAAATAAATAAAAAAAATTACACATTACACTACTCTGGGCACGAAAAACAAGGTCAATATGGAGTTGCATTTATAACTACAGGAAAAATACAAAATAATATTATGAGAGAATTAACGCCAAACCATTTAATATATCCATCATAAACGTATATGCACCAACTGAAAGTGCTGTAGCAGAGGAAAAAGATAACATCTATGAGAAACTGGAACAAGAAATTGAATCTTTACCCAAAGAAGACACAATTCTGGTAATGGGAGATTTTAACGCTCAGATAGGCAAAGAAGACTACATTAACCAAGTTGCAGGTAAATATACATTACATGAAAAAACAAATGATAATGGTCAAAGATTATGCAACTTAGCAACTAGCACCAATATGATTGTCAGTAGTACAAAATTTGCACACCCTGTATACCACAAAGTAACATGGGTCTCACCAGACCAAAAAACATGGTCCCAAATAGACCATATACTCATCACAAAGAGAAAGCAAACATCGATAACAGACGTGAGAACATACAGAGGTGCACATGCAGACACAGACCATTTCATGGTTACTGCAACGTTAAGACAAAAAGTCAAAAGAACGCTAAAAAAACAAGACAACGAAGGACAAATGGTACATAGAAAAATTAAATGCTACAGATAGAAGAATTAAATATGCAGAAGATATAAGCAAAAAACTGAAGGAATACTGTGAACATACAGAGGATGTTGAAACAGAATGGAGCAATATAAAAAAATTTATAAATGAAACAGCTTCTGAACATGTAGGGATAGAGAGAAAGAACAAAAAAGAAGAATGGTATAATCAAGACTGTCATAACATGTTAAAAAAGAAGATAGAAATAAGACAAAGGTGGATCAGAACAAATAGACAAGAATATAAAGAAGAATACAACAAAATAAAGACAGAATGTAAGAAACAAATAAGAAAAATTAAACGAACCTGGTTAAATGATAAGATAAATGAAATAGAAAAAGAAAACACAAATAGAAACACAAAAGCATTTTATAAGAAAATTAGCGAGCAGAACAAAACCTTCAAAGGAAAGATAAAAGGCATAAAGGATAGAAATGGAAAAGTATCAGAAAATGACAGAGTTTAAAGAAATCTGGACTGATTATTTTAAAGAATTATTAACAGTACAAGAGGACGTAGACTTAAATGAAAATGTGGAAGAAGAGACCTCGAAGATAGAAACCGAGCTAGAAAAACGAGAGATGAAGTTGAGGAAATTATAAACAGTAGTCGCAACGGTAAAGCACCAGGTATAGACGGTATAAACATGGAACTAATAAAATATGGTGGACATGAACTCAGAGAAAAAATATACCAATTAATAAGAGTCATATGGGACGAAGAAAAGATGCCAGAAGAATGGCACAAAGGACAAATTATCACAATCCATAAAAAAGAAGACCAACAAATGTGTAATAATTATAGAGGACTGACATTATTAAACACAGCGTATAAAATCATGTCAACCTTAATAAAACGAAAACTGGCCAAAGCGACAACAAATATCATGGGACAGTATCAATGCGGATTTATTAGGGGAAAGTCAACAACAGATGCCATACATACGGTAAAGCAAATTATGGAGAAAGCTTATGGATATAAAATAGAAATTGAACTGCTTTTTATAGACTTCCAACAACCATTTGATTCAATAAACAGAGCGAAATTACTTACAGCTATGAGAGAAATGAGAATACTCAACAAATTAAGACGATTAATAAAATGACAATGAACAAAACCGTAGTAACTGACAAAACACAAGAAGGAGACATAGAAGAATTTGTTATAAATAAAGGTGTACGTCAAGGAGATACATTATCTGCAACTCTGTTTAAACTTGCCCTGGAATATATAGTCAGAAAAATCAACAAAGGTACACTTAGAACGAGAGAGGGACAAATAATAGTATATGCCGACGATATTGTGATAATAACAAAGAACAGAAAAAAATGGAAAGTATGTTAAAAGAATTGGTAGCAGAAGGGAAAGTAATGGAATTAGTAATAAATCAAGAAAAAACAAAAATAATGAGATTTGACAAAAAATATGAAAACAAAAAGGTTAGACTGGGAGAATATATATTTGAAGAAGTAGAAAAGTTTAAGTATTTGGGAATATTATTAGCAAACAATGGAGAAAGGGAAACAGAAATTAAAGAAAGGATAATTACAGCAAATAAGACATACTATGCAAATAAAAAGCTTCTAAAAAATAAATTACTGAGCAAAAAATCGAAAATGAAAATATATAAAACAATAATTCAACCGACTATGATGTATGCTGCCGATACTTTTAGCATGACAAAAAAAAACAAGAGGAAGACCTTAGAATACTAGAAAGGAAAATACTTAGAGCAATATTAGGACCAATAAAAATTAATGAAAACCAATATAGACAAAGAACGAATCATGAACTACTAAACGAAATTAAAGAGGATATAGTTTGTAAAATAAAACAGCAAAGGGCAAAATGGCTAGGACATATATGGAGATCAGGACCATCTACGACAATATTCTCAATACTGGAATGGACACCAGCTGGTAAACGAAGACGTGGAAGACCAAGATCTACATGGCTACAAGAAGGCTCAAAACGATCTCAACAGGGCGGGCGTACGACAATGGAGAGAAAAAACCAGAGCTAGGAAACAGTGGAGAAAAATAACAAGAAAAATTAAATAAAGAAAATGAGGACTGATCTACCTCGTAAAATAGATCTAGAGAGCTTAAGCGGCGTAACCCCGTACGGGGTGTTTAGCCACAATATAATAATGATAACAAACATGCACATATGTCATGATCAGCGTCTTTTATTTGAAAAATAAATGAACGAAATAAAATTCTATTAATTGAATTGAATTGAAATACTATTAATTGAATTAAAAATATTTGTAGCCACTTTTTGACTGGCAATCTATTATCAATGTATTCTCGTAATTTAGAGTGTATGTAAATATGTGAGTTTGATGAACTACCTTATGAACGTAGTGATCCTGCAGTAGGATCGTGTACTATAAATATAAATTATTATTCTGAGATAGTCTTATCTAAAACAATAAATTCAACAAAGTAGGGTGCATAGTACTCTACCTTAGCACCTTATCATAATTATAAACAAAAAATAAACATATTTTGCTACACCTGCATATTGAAGAAGTAAACCGGATATACAACTGTATTTATATAGTCAAACACTATGTGGGTTCTTATTATTGTGTCGAACTTCAAAATTTTGTTCACAATTAAATATATATAGGGTAGAGTGCTTTAAGAATGCGCACTTAAGGTTTAATTAAGTGTAAAATCCAAACCAATTGGTGAAAGTATATTTATTTTTATTTAAGCCTGTTGATACATAAACAACAAAATCAATTATAATTTGCGAACTAAACATTATTACTTTAATATAAAAAGTGAAACTAAAAAAAGTACTTTTGCACACTCTTATAAACCTGCTTTTTAAAAGTACGCATTTAGGATTGTAAGATTGCGCACGAAATTTTATGAACATAGGTCACATTTATAACATCCAAAACCTGCGTAGGCATTGCACCATTCAGGACATGATATGCACTTAATCCAGTCTTCTCTGATAGGTTCTTTAAATGTTTCGTTGCACCCTGGACAGCTCCAAATTTTCTTATAAGGCGTTGTTTTTGGCTTTGTGAAAACAGCTTTTTCATTTTTTTGGATCTTCTCTGCCGGTCTAAGGTTCTCATCTGATTTCCTTTTTAAACTCCCTCCCAGAACTACTTGCGGTGGTGGTAGGTTATCGCCAACATCTTGTTTGAGTTTGTATTGCGGCTTTTTTCTCTTTTTTTTTCAATTACTTGGTCCTTATAT